TTGTAATGGTTTGGATATTTATAAGAGAAGAAAAGTAGAAATTTTTTTTTTTTTAAAATAAGTGACCAAACGGTCACTGAAAAATCAGTGACCGTTTGGCCACTTTGGTGACCGTTCGATCACTGATTTTCATCAGTGACAGTTCTGGTCACCTATTTTTTTGTTTTTTTTTCGTCTGGGCTCGTCTCACGAGCGGCTCGCCGAGCTGCTTGTGAATAGTGACGAGCCGAGCGGGCTAAGCTTGTCTAGCCCACCTGCCCACTCGGCTCGTGCTCGGGCTCTTTTTTTACAAGCCCGAGCAGATCGTGGGCGTGAACAGTACGACCCGTGCGGACGAGTCATTTGACACCACTAAATGATCCTGTCATGTTTCACAACTTTATCTTAAGTATTTATTATTATTATTTTCTGTAAAAATAAAATTTATTTTGAAAAAAGGATGGATAATTAAGTGAATTTTTTTTTTTTTTTATCGACTAAAACCTTTTAGTTGAAGAGAAAACTAAAGTGTAAAAATGAGCTAGATCCGATTATCAAGATAATGGGGTTGAAGTTTTTATTAGTAATGTTATTTATACTGAAAACTACTAGTAGTCGCCCCACGTGGCATATATGTAACAGTTTTTTATTTAATATATGAAATAAAATAAAATAAAACTACCGCACTAATGAATCAAATAACAAAGTGCTACATATATAACCGTAAGATGACTATCGATAATCTTTATTGTAAATAACATTATTTATTTTTTTATAATTCCTTAATAATTTGGTTAGTTATTTGTTAAAGGCAAAGATCGAGTTAGATTTAAAAATTCATTTTAATTTATTTTGATGGAGTCAACTAACTCAGAAAGCATAGAGAAAGAGAGAGAGAAAAAAAGGCACTTTGATACTATCCATAACATAATGGTTATTTACCTATTTTCGTCTTAACATACCTTGTCAAGCTTATTATTGAGGTTTGGTGTGTGATTTCCTTATCTAGGTTAAAATTTGTAAATTTTTCATGTACTTAGATTAAAATGTGCAAACGTCCAATGTGCTTAGTAATGCTATGATACTTTCCATTTGTCTACGAGACAAAGTCATGTTTATCGTTAGCATCGATGCTTTAGCTCCGGTGGTAAATTGGCTAACCCTACTTTGTCGAGTCAGTTAGCATGGCAAGAGAGTTGAGTGTCTAACTTGTCCATTTTCGAATTGCATGCATGCACCGACTTGCAGAATATTCAAGGCGTCCAAATATTTCTCGACATTATTATTTATCACGAGTTTAAAATAGAAAAAAGAGATCACCGAAAAACTCAAAAACAAAAACAAGAAATTAAGTAGAATTAACCACATGCAAAGTAAGAATGATTATATTTATTGTATGTTTCTCGCATTAAAAGACTTTTACATTTGTTGAGCCCCATAGTAAAGACTTCTAATCTTCACAATGTTCTTCAATTAATAGTTGAAGGAATCCTAGAAACGATGAATTCAGTTTCACATTCCAATTAACAGAAAATAGCAAGGAATCAGGGAATTTGAACAAAAATAAGAAATTAATAACCAGATAATTGGCAAAAATTATAAATATCACTAGAGAATTACCTTGAATCTTGAGGCTTGAGTAGGAATGTAAACGAGCCGGGTTGTGAGTCGAAAAATTATGGCATGGGTGCAGCCCAAACAAAAAATGGCTCGGACTTTTTTGGCCCAAGTTGAACCTAGGCGAGCCAAGCTCGGTCGAAAAATCGAGGCTTGGCTCAAGCTTTTTGGCTCGAGCCTTATCAAGTTGGCTAGTTTTTTTTTTTGGTTAATTTTTTTAAAAAAATTGGTGATAGGTGCCTGAAGCATCTTCAGGCAAGCAGTAGGAAGCCGCATGTGACACGGGCCATTTGGCGTGCCACGCTGGTCTGCCCATGTGGCCCAACGAGCTGCATGGGGCCGACTTGGGCCATCGCCTAAAAAATGAGGCTGGTCCTGAGCTGTAAGCCAAGTTGGTTAGGGCTTTTTACGAGCCGAGTTGCTAGTTGTCTGAACTGACAAGCCGGATTGACATCCATAGACTTGAGAGATAGAATGATAGTAGAGAAATGATTGTCAAAGTGTCGGACTTGGAAGTGCTAGGGTTCTTGGATTCTACATTATTATTCGAAATCAGTATGATGGGTGTTTAATAGGATTCAACAACGAAATCATCAAACCACAAAATCGAATCGAAATTGCTTTTCTAAAATCATTGGTTTGGTTGCATGTGGACCCGTCAACATTTTGGTTTTGAATCAAACCAAATCGTTTCGAAGGGTTTGGTTTAAATTTCAATCTTTAAAAACCGTTACAAAACGTCAAACTATTTAAAAAAATGAAAATAAATTTATTTAAATTTTTTCCAACCCAATTAAAACTGAACACATCCCAGTTAAAAAGATACATTCATATTATACATAATTAAATTAAACTCAATATCTAAATAGACTTTATTCATCCCAATTGATTAACTAAATCATACCCAAATACCCATGAGTAATCACAACTATGAATGCAAAATCATCAAATTGGTGAAGTGTTGAACAATTGTTGCTGAACTATATTCATCGATCGCCTGTTATAATAGAGTAGACATTTAAATCTAGATCGACATAATAATGTTCTAAAAAAGAACTAGTAAAAAAGAACTGTATTAATGTTGCATTGACTGCTTAATTAATATAATTATCTTCATTGTGACTAATCATACTTTTTATCAGTGTTCTAAAAGGCGCGTCTAGGCGTGAGGCGATGCCAAAACGCCAAGCTTAATGAGTTAACGTCCTATTTGGCAGTCAACGACAGTTGTTGATCGCTAATGCGCGCTTAGGGGCGCTTTTTTTTTAATTATTATTATTACAATTCTTTTGAAATTAAAAATTATTAAATGCTAATTTTTTCAGTTT